GTCTGATGACCGCTTGCATAAACCCCTGAACCCCTAAACCGAAGAGGCCCGCTGTGGACAGTCCAAGGGCTGCTCTTGGTGGATCGCTCATTGGGCCGCTTCCGCCAGGTAGGGTTTAGGGCTTTGGGAGGTTTAGGGGTTTGGGGGATCAGGGGTTTAAGAGTCTAGGGGTTTAGGGTTTCGGGTTTAGTGTTTAGGGGTTTAGAGTTTGGAGTTTTAGGGTCACGGGGTGTAGTGTTTAGGGCCTTCCGTCATTGGGTATGGTGGTCCACTCGCGAGGGAAGAGGCATTTTGTGGGGGTAGACATGGGATTAGTTTCTTTGGCCAGCGTTTTATCTCTCAGGGTCCAAGCTCCTAAATGTTCATATGTAATCTGGGACCAGATAGGTTCCTACAGGCATTTTCTTTGGGCGCAGATTATCTACCATTCAGAGAATTCGACCTTTAGGGGTGTGGTGGAGAGCGGGAACTGATCAAGCTGAAATATTCTGGACTTCAGCTAGAGCGTCCCGAGTTGGACATTGAGCCTTCTAAGCATAAGGCTCCATGTGTTACCATTTACAGACTGTAGGGCCCAACGTAGCTATCATTTATAGCCTCAGGATAAGGGTCCAAGTGCCCAACTATTTTACACTTTTGTATTGGGACCTAAAGACGTTGCTGTCTGAGTACTTGGACGTTTCGGATACGGCATTGTGCTGCTGTGTCCTTGCAGAATTTTGGCATCGCACTGCCACTTCCGGTTCATACTGGTAGTATTCCGGCAGCACTACTGCGCCGTGGTGCCATGGTAAAGTACTCGTACAGAACAATCATGTGCGCAGTTCTCAAAATTATGGCCCCCTTTTGGTTATGAATTGTATTAATTACGGCACCTAAAATTTAGAAATGGGCCCCGAAACCCCCGTATTTCTGGCATATATACTCGATATTTTGGGATTGAAGGTTATTCTTGTAAGTGTTCAGACGGTCTAGGTAAGATGAATAGGGGACTGCGCAACAGGGCTTTTTATTCGGTATTAACTAGGGACTACAGTAGGAATCCGCTCCTCCATTCCCTACAAGCTGCCAGTGAGCGGAGGGACGTTCTTGACATGATAATTTCCCAGGATAGGGGGGCCCCAATATTGACCCTAATATATTTTAATCCTTATTATTGGGACTCAAAAAGATACCCCTAATTTTGGGAAGCCCTAAACCCTATATATCCCCATATAAACGTATATATCCCCATAAACCCCTTTAAAGGTACCCCTCATTTTGGGAACCCCCCCCCCCATATCTGCATTGCCCACCGCCGGCACCAATGGCACAAACCTTCCCCTACCACATCTGATGGGTAGTTCCCAAAATTGGGGTTTCAGGGTTGAGGGTTCAGGGTTTTAGGGTTTAGGGTTTAGGGTTTTAGGGTTTAGGGTTTAGGGTTTTAGGGTTTAGGGTTTTACAGTTTAATCCTAAACGCTTTCTGCAGGCTATGGAGCTTACGTCAGAGGACTGCCAGTGGCGCAGCAAGACAGGGCAGGAGTCGTGGTCCGTCCTCGAGCAGAATGTATCTTGGGAGTGCAGTACTCATGAGGTTTAGAATTTAGGGCTAAGTACGCAGACCTCCCCAATACCCAGGGTTCTAGCCTAGCTAGTATATTCCCCTTGTGTGGAGTTGCAAGGCTACCATTACGAACATGGACTACGATGGCTCTTTCCAGGGGTTATATAGAGTTACTAATACTATTATTGTTATTATTACTACTATTGTTATCATTCGTATTCTGGGGCTGCTACAGGAATCCACGCTTCAAACCCTGAACCCCAAACCCAAACCCCAACCCTGCAACCCCAAATTCATAAATTCCGCTTGCCGGAAGAAGCTGGTAAAGCAAGGCATCACTATCTTTATTGGAGGGGGGCGAGTACGTCACTGGCTTTGACTACGTCAACGAAAAGCACATCAACCTTCGCTTGAACACCCCTCACGGCAAGAAGGACGTTCTCACCCTCAACACGGTGTGCATGAGTCTGAACTGCAGTTTGGAAAGTCTTTTTATAACGTGAGTTAGTTCTTTGGTTCATACTAGCTTGTAAGTCCACTCCTTCCAGCTTTGAACACCTCCTCGGTGTAAGATGAAATACCCCATTGCACAGGTGGGGACACTTCATATATCAAAGCGCCCGCCTGCTCTACACACTTGGGCCCCAGAGTCGTGATATGGAAGCCCCTCTAGACCCAAGTCTCAACACGGTGTGCCACTTCCCAGGAGTGGCGCTATCAACTTGCGGGTGTCCCCGCAGAAAGCCTTCGAGCCTAAGTTCTTGACCGGCCAAATTCAAGCCGGCAATGCCAAGAGCCAGGACAGCTTGCAAAATTTTTGGGGGTCGAGGGGTACCCCTAAACCACTCAAAGCTTAAACCCTAAACCCTCAGGGGGTGTGCCGGAGGCACCCGAGCCGCTGGCCCTTTGACTTGGCAGGTTTAAGTTTAGGCCATCTACCCTGCAGCCCCCTATCCTGGGTTTCTGAGAATGAGCTTAAATTCAGCTACCATTACCTTATACGCATATTATGGTAACTTGGTTTACACTCCTTAACAGCAAGCAAGTATGAGGGTGTAGTTATTTGTTTACACGACTTCTGTTTGGGGGAGTGCATTTGAGGCCACGTCAAGCCTGGCTAGAGTCAAACCTGGCTAGAAGCATATTGCAAGATTGGAAGAATGCGAGCATAGTTTGAGGGTTATATGGGGATAATGGAAAAGAGAATGGAAACTGCTGCGCGGGGTTTAGGGTTTAGGGTTTGGGGGTGGGAATATAGGGGTCTTATATGGGATAATGGAAGAGAACCATGGAAACTGCTTGGGTTTGGAGTTGCCAGTAAGGCATGGGAAACCTTTCAGACGCCTTCCTCTCATGGGCGGAACTGTTGTGGGGCTGTCGTAAGCCTCGAACCCAGGAAGGCTTCAAAACTTTGAGCCCGAAATCCTAAACCCCAAACCTTACCCCTAAGCCCCCAAACTACCCGCAGGCAACTCTAGAGCAAAATCCTGGGTTGCTGTTAAGGAACTTAATTTGAGTTACTATATTGGGGAAACCCTACTATTTACTATGTATACCCATTATGGTAACTTAACTTAAGTTCCTTAACAGCAACCCAGAAAC